AATATCACGGCCACAAAGCCTGAGTCAGTGTTGTTCCCATCATCTTTTTTGTCATTTTTCTTATCATTTTGTTGCTTTTTCTCGGACATGTTGTCTGTCCGTTTGTAGGTGAACTTGGACTTCATCACATAAGGATTCAACAAACCCTTGTCGGCTAGCTTATCCAATAGCCTCTTCAGATTGATGCAATCGTTCGTGTCATGACCCACATCTTTGTGGTAATGACAATACTTGTTTTTGTTTCTGTACTGGGCCGAGCCTCTCAAAGGCTGAGGCTTCTCAAACTCAAACTTGTCTTTTATCTCCATCAAAATGGAGTAGCCGTCCTTGTTGAACTCATACTGAGGCTTGTACGTCTTGCTTTTCTTTGACTTGGGTTGCTTGTCATCAGCTACCCAGATTTCTTTTCTTTTGTTTCCTTCTTTCTTTCGGCCGACCGAGTCTTGCTGAGAAGATTGCTTCTTCTCAGCCCCCTTGGTCGGCTGTTCTGATTTGGTGAGCGAACAGAAGTCCGCGGCCTCAATGTAGGCTTCGGCTTCCCGCAACACACCTGCGTACGACCAAATCTTTTTTCTTACCAAATCAAACTTGAAACCATTATGCCTTAATCCCCGGAGAAATTCTAAGTATGCCATTTCGTCCGGGAGATTATGAATTTGGGATTTTTCTTGGTTAAACCTTTGGACGTACGAACGTAGTCCTTCATTCTTTCCTTGGACAATTGTTGCCAAATTGAGGCTTGTCTTTCTTGGTGGGATGTTGTAAGAGAAATTTCCCACGAACAACAGACTGAGGGTGGTAAAGAAATTTATGCACCCGGCCGGAAGGCTATTAAACCAATCCTGAGCCACTCCCTTAAGGGTGGCCGGGAAGCATCTGCACCAAGTAGCGTCATCTACGCTTTGCCAGTACATCAAGTTCCTGTACGAGGTAATATGCTCCTCTGGGTTGCCCGTACCATCATAGGCACCCACTAGTACACTCTTAACTTTTGCTGGTTGGGGGGATGTTAGTATGTCTTGCGAAAACGGAGGCGGCTTGTCTCCTAAAGTCAACAAGCGCATCTGCCAGCCAATGGGTTGAGGCTGCGCGGACGGTCCAGCCAGGTAGGGAGCCTGGCCGAACGTCTGGCCATACGGCCCATACTGTCCGAAGATCTGGGGAGTTGGCTGAATCAACCCATTGAGAACTTGAGGGGGCTGATATTGTGATGGCTGAACTGGAATGGGAGTAATAGTGTGAGCGTCTTGGCTTCTGCTAGAGACGGTTGTGTTGGTATATTGGGAGAAAGATTGGTTGGAGAACTCATCCGTCATAGTTGGGGTAGAGGCCGTGTCAGAATATGCGGCCCTCTCCCTTTGCTTGTGCCGAATGTAATCCCTTGCGTCCTTGAAATGTTGTGAAGTCTCAGGCTCCGCTCTTCTTGGCTGTCTACCCCTCCCCCCAGCCAACTGTGTTTTCGCCAACAGACTAGAGAGATTGGTCCGTGGGACTCGGGGAGACCTTCCATGCGGACGGCGGAATGGAGTATTACCAGCATCAGTTGCATTGGTCTTGTTGTGCGTTTTCTTGGAGGCACCACCTCCCCCCTTTGGCTGTTTAGAGGCCAACTCTTGGCGAAGCTTGGTCAGCTCGCCCATTACGGTAGCTGGGGTAACATGTGGTTGCTCGGCCTCCTGAAATGAGGCAGTTAAAGGATTGCTAGAATGTATGGTAGTGTGTAAATCTTCTACGTATCCGTCCTCGCCTGGACGAGGACCAGTATTAGGTGTCTGACCATCTATTGCCATAACGGACGAGTATCCCCACACACGGCGCCAAATGTTTCGGGGTATTTTGTGAACTCCTCGGATACTGGTCACGCTCTTCGGGCAACGAGACGCGGACACCTGCAAAACAACGAATATTCCTTTATCGGAATATTCGCCTCCGACGATCAAGTTAGAGATCGGTAATCGGAAAAGCTAGAGAGAGAAAGTAGAGAGAAGTTGGAGCTCTTTTAGTGCTCTTTTTAATGTTATGTCACAATCCACCCCTCCCATCATAAATGATTGGGGTATTTATAGGGGTGGGAGCATGTGCCCCTTTAGGGTTTGTACCCTAAAATTCCGTGACGTGATTGGCTGCGCAATCAGAGACCGCCACGTGTCATAGGGGGGCGCTGTTTTGCGGCTTTCAAGGGTTTTTCTCGGGATTTGGGCCTGATGTAATAAAGGCCTTTTCTCTTTCTAATGTTCCATTATACGCTTAGGGCAGCTGACACGTGTCACCCTATCAGGAGGACACGTGTCGCCCTCTCATAGGGACTTGTGTCGCCTTCTTATTGGGCCACGTGTCGCTATGAGATTGGGCCACGTAATTGGGGTAATTTTACCCTAAACAAGTATGACTTTTGAAATATCTATTTTTTAAATTTACTAGAGATAAAGAAGTTAGTAAATCAAGTTTTTCAAAAAAAAAAAAGAAATTAGTAAATCAATTATCTCATACAAGGCGGATCTTTGTTTGTTTTTGGGTGGATCAAGATGTTGCCCCTTAAACTTTGCTTTAGGTTTTACAACTATACGGTTACTTATAATGCACGTACAAGTTACAAGATTCTGGTCTCATCTTATACTTAGAATCTACATTCTGTAAGTTTTAAGTTCTAGAATCACCCTTCAAAAAAAATAAATTTAAAATCAACATTTGTCACCCTAATATATATTGCAAGATCCCCTTCTCCATGTTATAAATCTAATGATTAATCCTAGTAAAAGGTGTCATACACAAAGGCAAACCACCACCTTCCAAAATTCTAAAAATTAAGTTAAATTGTATGGAGTTAATTTCTATAATCCTGTCAAAAAAAAAAAAAAAAAAAAAAAAAAATCTATAATAAGAAATGGATTTTGCTAACAAAAAAGCATTTAAAACATTACAAATTATGGTAATAATTTGGAAAAGCATGACAAATTACACGTCGATCGGTAATTAATGTTAATTTATTTTAATTTTTTCTATTTTTAGCTAACTTATCTAACACGCCTGAGGCGTTCGTTAGCTTTTGCCATAAGAAATTTTGATGGAAAACCATTATCCCCTAATTGAATGCATGAATATTAGGACAATGAACCTTCCCTTCAGATTGAACTGGAATATCGAAATTATCCATTTCTCCATACCATTTTTTAAAAATGGAATTAAGGGGATGAGTAGTTAACTATGTAATTATGATGTTTATACGGTGTTGTTTTGGTTGTTATTTTTGGTCCAATACAATCCAAACAGAAAACTTCTTATCTAATGATTTTACTAAAATTATAATTCGTAATTTTTTCTTTTTCAAAGTAAATCATGTCATCGATTAGGACTATTCAGGGTTTAGACTAAATTGTACCAAAAAGTTGGAATCAATGAAGTCCAAATTGTAATCACTCGATCTTGTCCGAATTCCAATCTATGCATTCCCCTTTTTAGAATTATAATAACCTAAATATTTTCTCTCGTGGAAATAGAATATAATTTTTGGGATCAAAATAATTTTGCACTACCTGAAAAGATGTATAGAACATTTAGTACTACTCCCTCCGTCCCAAAAAGAACGATCCATTTGGCCAAAGCTTTGTCTCAAAAAGAATGGCCCATTTGCATTAAAACACCCACCAATTTGCTATAATATTTGTGCAAAATTAGCTTCCCCATATAAAAATTTGATTTTCCATGTTATTTTATTACTTTCCCTCTCTATTTTTTTACAAACCCCATATAAATTTATCTTTCCAATATACTTTTACTTCTTTTTACTTAACTTCCTTAATACCCGCGTAATCAACTCAAATGGGTCATTCTTTTTGGGACGGAGGGAGTAGCTTGTAAGAATTAAATATCCATTTTTGATATAGATTACTGTACAATATAAGAATATCAACATCAACTGGAACATTATTTTTTAAAAAAGGCATAAAAAAAGATGGAATGGAAGAGTAAAATAGAAGATTAGATATTCCAAGTTGCAGTGCAAAAAGTTTTCCTCTTCAAAATTTATGTCTCAATTATTATTCTTTTGGATTTTAGATGAGAATCAAAGATTCTTTGCCCAGACGTAAGTTGGATCACACAGACTTTATCATTGGATTTGGATAAGCCTTTTTTTTATATAATTTTTGCAAAAGTCATAATCAAACTTAAACCCTTTTCACTTTAGGCTTAGTCCAAAAGTAGCTCACATTTTAGGACTTTTATTGTCAGTTTGTCAGGCCCATTTTCTTAAGGTCTTAATGTTTTTTTTAGACACTAAGTAAAAATTTGGCCTTTATTACTTGTGTTATCAATTCATGCAAATTTAGTTATCTTTTCTTCTTCAAGTGATGAATGCCCGTGTTCACATTTTTTATTGTCGAACCATCTACAAAATATGGTTAATTATATACAAAGTACAATATAAGATAATTATTATATGATTTTTTTAAAAAAAAAAAAAAAAAAAAAAGACTAAGATTAAGTGATATTCAGGTTGGTTCATGCTTGCGTAGTATTGGATTGGGTTAGGTTCAAATTTTTCGCCATATAGCCCATATCGTCGTTTCAAGTAAGAGGTTGTAAACCCTATTTAAGCGTAATCCAAGTTATAATTGCAAAATGGTGCTCATTATTGGTGCTAGACTAGAATAGTGAGGTCTAACTCTAATGAGCTAAAGAAGTAAAGAGGGTACATTGATTTGTGTAATGGGCCTCTTGTCTCTAGTCTAGCATTGATTTGCAATAAAAGTGTTCTGGCTAAAGTCTAGTTAAGTTTAATGTAAATATCTATGAATCACACAATTGGGCCTAAAGCATAATAGAGCAGTTGATTTTATGACTAAATTGCATGAATAACACTTTTTTTTTCTTTTGAAAACATTGCATGAATAACACTTAAACTCATATGAATATCATGATCCAATCCTATTTATTTCATTCCTAAATTGTTAACATGTAATATGACATATTTCGTAGTTTGGTGCTTAAGATTTATAGTGTTCAGAGGACAATATAGTTCCATTGATTCCATTATATGCAATACAAGTCCATTTTCTTTATCAATTTGGATCATCCAACATAGGCCCATCGACTATTATCAGTTACAATCTCGAAATGTCAATGGAGCTTAATTCAAAACAAGGCTCTTAATTGACATTAGCCTAGTTAGACTATCAGATTTATCTGAATATAATTTATATAGGAAAATTCTCAATCAAAAAGTGTAATAATTTATTACTACTTCGATTAAGGATGAAGACGTTTTTGAAGTGTAGTTACAAAATTTCTCAATAACCATCTGGCTACATTTTTGTTACCCTCTTGAGTCATATGAATTCCATCCCAATTTACTGTTTTACTAGGATCTTGACAAACTGGAACTCCGGGGCTTCCACAACTTCTTTTTAGGTCATAATTGTATGGATTGCGACCAGTTGCACAACAAGCCTTTTTCGATCCATTTCGCTCGAAACCTGTAAAAGTAAAAATTTTAAACCTTTTGTTTTTTTTAGTAACAATACAAAGACTAAATTGGTTAATTAATAATATTTCCTCTGTCATCAAATTATCTTTACTTTACCATTAAAGTTATTCAGCTAGATATACACGCATGTGTATGCAATTTGTGGAATAAAATTTGTTAGTGGATGGAGAATTCTTACAAAACCTTTCAAAAAGTCCAACCATTAAAATAGTATAGTATGTTAAAGAGGGAGGGGTGCACAAATGGACTAACTATTTTACCTAATCGAGGAGCATGACTAATGACCCATGTCAAGGCAGAGTAGTAGTCTCCATATGCAATGGCAACACCCGGGTGTTCGTGTTGCACCTCTTGGATAGCTTCTATCAAAAGATTATTGTGATACTTTGAGAAGTCGTTGTAGTCTTTAAGGCATTCAAGTTCATCATACTTCGATGCATCCGTGGTTGCGAATTTAACAAGATAAAGAGGCACACAACCGATGGGGAAATTCCCGGGCACCACAATATTAGTAGCCCCTAGCCGTATCACTTCCTGCAATATTAGTTAAGAGAAAATTTGTGCTCAATATTACTCTCTTCAATCCGAATTATTAACACCAAACACACTTATTATTTAAGGTCATCCCGAAAAAAGTGATGTAGACAATATTTATATCTATGATAGCATTTTCATAAAATGGTAGGTAATATTAAGTGATTGATGGGAAGAAGATACAAAATCATAACTATGTCCTATAAAATAATCATAGTAACTACTAACTTTAGCAACATAAGGATTACTTATCCAAAAGTAAGTCCAAAATGTCTCAATAAGTTTTATAGTACACTCAACTCAGTGCACACGATATCTTATATTGTGACACTGACACATAATTTTATAGAGATTAGGATAATCTGACAACTTATAAGTTCAAACGCTGAGAGAATTATAACGTAAAATGTGAATAACTATACGGAGTAGTAGTCAAGTAAGTCAACTACAAGTAATAATTTTATAAAGTAGCAACTTTATTTGATCAATTAACATACCTTAACTGCATCTTTAATGGTTTGTACAACGTGAGGGACGAACTGGTATACTTCTTCCAAAGTTCTACCTTGGAAGAAAGCGAAATTGTAGTCATTTCCTCCAATTTCTCCCATTAAAACCAATGATTTTTGGAGTTTTTCTCTGATTTCTGCAACCATGCATGCAATTACAAGGAAATGTCATTATTAAATAAATAGACATAATTCTTTGTGATTTAGGACCAGTTAATTGTATTAATTTCTTCATGTGATTACAATATACTATGTCAATATTCTTTAGATCGATCATAAAAGTTTGTGAACTTTTAGGATTGCTTTAATCAAATTCCTGATAGCGTAAAGGTAAATTCTCTTCTTTCCCTAAGTTTTTGTTATTTATGGAGTATTTATTTCTCACTGTAAAAGTAAATTGAAGTTACGACAAACTTACGAATAATTCATTGTCATTATTGTATGTCCAATTTATACGCCTTTTACATAATTTTTACTTAAAAAAAAAGAAAAAACAAACTTCATACACAACCTTTTTTTTTACACGATATTTTTTTTTAATACTCCATTAGTCCCTTTTGGACTTTTGGTTAACACCATAGGCCCACTTTTATGGGAATATCTTAGATTAAATGGTGCAAAAAATAAGGAACTGACGAAGGGAGTATAAAAGTATAGCAAAGACTTTTGACTTGACAATTAGTGTAAGATTATAAATGTGTCCTGCCATTTTTTTTTAAAAAAAGATATAAATGTATGTCCTGCGAAATTGTGTGTCCTTAAAATTATGGCACTTTCATAAGAAAAGAAGTTTTTCAAAGATTTGAAAATTAAAATCCTTAACTTATTTCCACATTAAATTTGGTGCAAGAATATGTCATACTCCGTACACAAATTTCTGTCAATATAAACACTATCATAAATAAAAGAGGCTCTCCAAAGATTTGGAAACCCTACAAGCAATAACCTACCAAACGCATGCTACATGTATTAATTTGACAAGAAAGATTATGGAGTACTCCATTGTAAATTGGACTGTATTTATGAAATTTACGTGGTATTTGATCTTCATAACTGTTTTGTACCACTCGATATTATACCATTAATAAAAAATCATAAATATTTAGGCACATATTAATGATAGTCATTGACAAAATGTCATATACTAATACTCGTAATTTGGTACCATGCAGTCATGCATACGCGTTATTTATTATTGACTACAAAAAGAATAGTTAGTGTTGCCATCTAATGGTACATTGTAGCATAACACGTACCTATTGGACCGGAGAAAGTAGAGTAGAGGAGGGATCTAAACCATCGTAGTTGCATATCCAAGTTGCTTTGTGTAAGAGGTAGAGTTACATTTCGAGCAGCCAAAGCGGCTACGTCGAGAGCAGTAGCGCCAGCCACGGCGAAATTGGCTCCATAGGTAAAGTCACTTCCTTTGGCAAGATATGGGTTCAGCAGTGGTAGGTTAAAGTACATAGCTACCATTCAAAAAAATTGAACAACAGTTAGATTGAGATGTAAAAGTCCCACACAATTATTCTAACTCATTGACTAATTTCTGAAAAAAAATTCATACTTTTTTTGGTAGGGGGTTGGGAAAGTGCAATTTTTTTACAAGCTGTTTGATTTTAAAAGTTAAAAATTGCATTATATTTTGGACTTATATTTAGTTGTATGAAATTTTATAGTTAGTTAATTAATTAGTTAATGGTACTTAACTACTCAATTTCTTATTATTCTTCTCGACTTTCTGTTTCTCCCGTACAAAACATTCAGCTTATGAAAAAAATAGAGAGAGTACTTATTATTAATTTAACTATCTCATACGGAGCATCATTTTTAAAACTGTGATGTTTATTCTTTGTTCTTTTGTGTATCAAGAGCTATAAATATAAATGATATAGTCCGTATGTTTTAATGTATTAAACTATTTACTCCGTTTCCTTATAATTTAACTTATTTTAAAAGAATTAATATGTTGTCAAAAAAATAAAATGAATTAATAAATGTAGTTAGGTTTATTATAAAAGAAAAAACTTAAAACTTAAAAGAAAGGACAACTATAGTGTTCAATATATATGTACTAATATAGGTTCTATGCATATTATCACAATGGAATGAAAAAGAAAAACAGAGGAAACAGAGGAAATTTGAATGAAGTGTTAAGTGTATGGGTGTAAATGAAACATACCAAAGTAATCCACCATAAGAAGACCATCGGAGCAACGCCCGGTAGGGTGGTGGAAGTAAGTTTGTCCATAAGGAAGCCTCGCGAAAGCGGTCTTTGCACCGGTAGACTCCCGGATTAAGTTGCCGGTATCGGAAAGCGAGTCACCAAATTGGTAGATGGCTTCAAATTGCATTGTCATGGGTGTTGCTCCTTTGCTTCTAAGGGAGGTTTGTAAGGCACCTTGACATGTAATGATAGTTGCATATAGCATGAACAAATGCAAAGAGAAGTGCCTCATTATTATTATTATTATTATTATTATTATTATTATTATTATTATTATTATTATTATTGTTATGACTTGGAGTGAGTTGGGAGAAGTGAAATGAAAGAGGTGGATTTTATAACGGAAAAAAAGGAATGATTTTGGTCAGAAAAAATGGTTGTTTTTTATTTTCATGATTATGGTAAGGCATGCTAAAAAATAAAAAGAAAACCAAAATAAAAATAAAATTTAAAATATTTAATATTATTATTTTTGACTTTTTTGTGGAAGGCAGGTGTTATTTGGTGGGTTGACTTTTATAGTAAGATGTACACATGCTACTCCACTTCTTTTTAGCGTATGATTAATTTTAACATATACATTAACAGAATGGGCATGCATATTTTTAATGGAATTCTATCTAAAATACTAGCTGAACAAAACCAATAAAAATCATATTATATAATTTAATTTATATATTAACCTAACTTCTAAACTAAGTTGTTTTGTGACTCACTAGGTCTTTAAAGCATAAGTTGGTGAATTACGCTAGCTATATCAAAATTATATTTGTATATGGCACAGAGTATTTTAGATTGATTGAATTGTTGAGATTGATCTAACATATCTAATGGTCTAGTGTCTAAACATTCATGACACTTTATGGAGGTTGATGTTTGATTACACTTTAGTTTGGCACTTTTCAATTACGAGGATTACTAAGATTGTTTTTCTATAACTAGTAGTTCTCTTTTAACTTATTACGATTGTCATACGGTACACGATTTCTAAAGAAGAAAATGCTCATTTATTTTAATTTGTTGTTTAAAGTTTTAGATAATTATACTTTCTTGTCATTTATTTTCATTAATTCCATTTTGATATGATGCTTTGAAGTTTCAATTTTCATTTTTATTGGAGAATCCCGTGTAGGACTCATTTTAGTTAAGTTGTATTGATCTGATTAATAAGAATGCAGGAGAATCCCGTGTAGGTCTCATTTTAATTAAGCTGAATTGATCTGATTAATAAGAATACAGTAGATTAAGAATTGTTCTTTATCCTAATAAGGGTAAACATCATACATTTAAGTCCCATAACTTTCAATTCACCCATCGAACATATAGCTTGGTCCTAAATTATTATAGATGATGGTATATATGTTCCTAGGTTATCATTCTTATCAAGTAAACAAATTTATGATCGATCACGATCATAGTTAGTAGTTCCATGCCGCTTCCATCCACTCATTTTAAGATGATTTGATTTATCGTATCATGAAATTAATTTGGATTGAGAAATAATATATGTAGTAATATTATAAAAAGAATCGCGCGGATAAACATCATCCCTATATAATTCTTCTAATGTCCAATTTTTCTTCCCTACTTAGACTTCAATCATCTTAAGATTGATGGAATGTGATAACTTAGGTTTGGGTTGTTACCATAACATTTATCATAATCCCTTGAAGATAACACCATACCATAACTAATTAAAATAAACTCCAATTACATGCCATCATGATCATAGGACGTTTAAATTTTTAAGTGCGTGACTAACCAGGTTTTATTTGCACAAACATACTTATGACTTTTTTTTTTCATTAATCTACTATATACTTGTGTATATATAAGAAATAATGTTAAATTTCAAACTTTTCATTTCTCTACAAGTCTAATATATTCCGTGCATTAGCAATTTTGCATAGAATAGAAAGTGGGTAGTCTTTGAGTTCACATTAGACAAACTAAAACTAAAATGCTAGCCATTCATTTAATTCAAAGCACTCAAAGATAATGTTTAGTTAATGGAAGAATCTCAACTCCATGCTTTTAGGTACAGCTAAAGCTTAGAGGGAGACATGATTAGTTTTTTGGGGCAGTTTTTTCTTCCACTAAACGAAATCATCATAAACATAAACTAACACATTTTTATGTGTCACTCTTTTATTGGCTCTAACAAACCAATAACAGGCAAATATAAGTACATACTCCGTATGATATAGTAGCAGCAATATTGGGGCAAGAGCACTTAATTCATATTAATTCATCTGATTGACTTAATTATGATGATAATGGACCATTAAACTATATAGTATAATGATTAATGGATTTTATGTTGTACCATCACTTCCGCAAATTACTGCATGCATTCTTGGGTAACCAAACTTACACCTACCCTTTTTCTTTTCTTCTTTGATTTATTTATTATTTTATATTGTATAATGTATATTATATACTACTCGTAGTATTTATTAAAATAATATGTTCAATAATTTTAAGCTAAAGTCACACTTATTTGTCTTCAAATGTCAAAAAAGGCTAAGGGTATGTTCATATTTACTTAATTTCAGTTCAGTTCAGTTCAGCTCCAACCAGTTCAGTTCAGTTCAGCTCCAATCAATTCAGTTCAGTTCAGTTCAGTTCAACTCTTAATTTCCCTCTCTCATAAAATATTCATTTCGGCTCAGTTCAGTTCAGTTCAGCTCCAATCAGTTCAGTTCAGTTCAGCTCTAATCAGTTCAGTTCAATTCAGCTCAGTTCAGTTAAGCTTAGTTCAGTAAATGTGAACAGGTCCTAAGTCTAAAACAAAATGTATTATTGAAGCAAATTTGTGGGAACAGAATCGGATTAGGATCCACACAAAACAAAGGCATAAAGAATGGCTTTTGCATTAATTTCCAAGTCAAAATCTTCGTCCATACAGTAGTAAAAGAAATTTATCCTAATTTTGTTTTTTGTTTTTTTTTTTCCTTTCTAAATTTATTTGAAAGAGAAGGACCTTAGTGGACCAATAATTCTCACAGATTCGTCAGCCAAGTTAAATAGGTCAACACTTGAGAGTAGAGAGGAGAGGAGGGGCAAGATATTTAATCCAAGCTAAGTCCGATAAAATGTGTAGGTGGTTTCATGCCTAGCCTATGAAGTGACTTAGTTTAATTTAGGCATGGTAGGGCTTTGAGTGTCGAGCTATTAAGTGCTCTACTAATATGCAATTTTGACTATTAATATATGAAGTGTATAATATTATATTAATAATAAAACTCATTCGTGTAAGAATTTGTATGAAACTAATACAAATATATTTTTTGCATTATAGAGTATTTACATCGTAGTACATAAGTTCAATCAATGGTTGTGATTTAAAGAATAAGGAAAGAATAATTTGGATGTACTGGAATTGTTATAAACTTGTCTAAGTTACTCTCTAATCTAATACTATGCCCAAATAAGATGATTTAAGATATCAATTCTAATTAATTAATTTTCTTCACATATTCATTACTCTCTTCATCTCAAAAAGATTGCTTCATACACTTAAACTAGCTTAAATCCCGTGCATATGCACGGTTGTTAAATACTTTTGAAAATAATATTATAAAAATTTATATAAAACTCATGTATTAAAAGTATGGTGTATATTAAAAACAAAAACATGTAAGAGAAAATATTTAAATTACATGTAACATGTATAATGGAAAGTTTAATATTTTTGGAAAGGAATTAAATTTTATATAAAACAAATATCATAATTTAGATACAGTACAATTTTTTTCCCCCTAAGTAACAATGATTTATTTTAAGAAGGTACATTTGGAGGGAAAATATTTAATGCACGCAATATTGACAAGTGTTTTTTTTATTCGCTTTTAGGCCCCGTTCTATTCACTTTAATTTTGCTGAACTGAAATTATTTGTACTGAACTGAAATTATTTTTGATGAACTTAAATTATTTTTACTGAACTTAAATTAATTTTACTGAACTTAAATTATTTTTTGCTGAACTGAAATTATTTTTACTGATTTTCTATTATAATTCTTCTTTAAGAAAACTGAATTTTACTGAACTGAACTTATTTTTACTGAATTGAAATTATTTTTACTGAACTGAACTTATTTTTATTGAACTGAAATTATTTTTACTTAATATTATTTTTTTAAGGTGAAGAGAACAGGGCCTTAGTATTATGTAATTGATTCTAATGTTTAAAGATTACCCTTTACACTTTTGGTAAATTTCCCGGCTTGCAATCCCATCTGCTCTTCTATCCCTATCAGTAATTGGGAGTTGTTATTCGTCGCTCCCATTTTACTTAGCGTCGCTCGCTTTTTTTGCCTGAAATTCCGAAATTGCCCCTAGACTATAAATAGCCTCGAGACTCCCGAACTACACACTTCACACTTGAATTTTCTGTCTCTAAAATCTGAAATCTCTTCTCTAAAATCTCTAATCTCTAAAAAATCAGAAATTGAAAACTAAAAAAAAAAAAAAAAAAAAATTAAATCCAAAAAAAAAAAAACCATAACCGGAAAATCACAATCGACTTGCAATGGGTGACCGGAGGCGATTAAGGGTGACGTACGGTGGTCGCGGCGGCGGTGGATTATCCGGCGAGCAGGTACTCAAATCGCAAAAAAAAAAAAAAAAAACCGGAAAAATACGAGATTTTCTGGAAAAAAAGGGACATCCGATTGAAAAATTTGGATGTCCCAAGAACATCCAACTGAAAAATCCGGATGTTCTTGGGACATCCGATTATTTCAGTTGGATGTCCCCAAAATCCAGAAATTCTGGATTTATTCCAGATTTATTTTTTCTGTTTTATTTGTTATTGTTTTTGTTGTTGTTATCGTCGTAGTTGTTGTTGGAGTCGTTGTTGTTATTGTTGCTGTCGTCTTTGTTGTTGTTATTGCGAAGTTAATCGAATCGAAAAAAAAAAAATTGCGTAAAAATACCCTGTTTCTGGAAAAAAGACATCCGGATGAAAAATCCGGATGTCCCAAGAACATCAAACAGAAAAATTCGGATGTTCCAGGGTTATCCGGAATTTTCTGTTGGATGTTCATGGGTCATCCGGATTTTTCATCCGGATGTCTTTTTTCCCAGAATTATTATTTTTTTTTTTAATTTTTTTTTTGGTTGGTTCTGATTCTGCATTTTTATATTTATTTTTATTTTTATTTCATTTCTGTTTTGTTTGTGTTAGTATGTTTTTGTTTTGTTGTCGTAACTATATAATTATTGTTAATTTTGTAATTTGTTACATTGTTTATCTTTGTTAATTGTTTTTAATTTGTTTGTGATTTTTGTTTTGTGTCGAATTATTTTGTATGCTTTTGTTTCTTTGTTTGCGAGGTTCTTTTTTTATTTTTTTAAGTTTGTTTATGGTTGTTAATGTTTTTGATTTGTTTGTGTTGGTTCGTTTATTTGTTTTTTTTTCCTTGTGTTGTTATTTTTGTGAGGTTTGTTTTTGTTTTTGTTATTCGTTTACGTTCTTAATTTTTGTATATTAGTTTGTATATATTTTTTTTGTACGGATTTTTATTTTTTATTTTGTTGTTATTATCTCAGTGAGGTTTAATTTTTGTTCGTGTAATTTGTTTATGTTTGTTAAATATTTTTTATTTGTTTGTGATTTTTATTGTTTTGGTTGTTTATGTTTTTTGGTTCTTTTTTGTGGGTTTTGCGTGGGAAAATTTATTTCGGTTTATGACTTTTCTGATTATGTACGTATTTAACATAGATTGAGGGTTCGGGAAGTCGTCACGCAATATCTCGACGTTTGAACGCCTCAGTTAGGCGGGAGTCAGGCCGTTTAGGAAATACGGCCGAACCGTTCGATCACCAGCAGCAGTATGGGTATGCTGGTAACTGGTCGGGGGAGCAGCAGCCAGAACGCAGCCTCCCCATGTACTCGTCGGGTGGAGTGCCTTCACCTTCAACTGACGATGAGGAGGACGAGGGAAGTCATGCTTCCCGCGATGACGAGTATGACTCTCGTTATTATCATACGGTGCGTAGGGGTCAGACTGGGAGATTTGTCAGCAGTACTCAAACCAGTCAGCCTTCCACAAGCACGGCAGAGGCATGGGTAGTGCAGGAGGCGATGCCAGGAGGTCCGGAGGATGGGACCGTTATCCCTAGCTTTGGGGGGCATGTGGCTGCGTATCTTGAATAGCAACCATCCAGTGCCTTGAATCAACAGCCCCACCATCCCATCGAATGCGGTCCACATTCATCCAAACCCTTCCTATCCCGTATATCCTTTCGTACAACAATGGGTGAGCGGCAACCTCATTCGCTATTATTTCTCGAGTGTCAAACCAGCTCCCTTGATCTCCTAGGAAGAAGTTGGCCACACATCGAAATCCACAGTTACCATCGCCAATGACATCCTTCCATCCCGTGATGTAAGGCAACATCGGTCCTGGGAGCAAGTGTAAATATCGGCATTGACGAATGTCAGCTTGATCTTCTGCCGCTGAATGAATTATGTTTTTGTTATGACGCCGCCAGGAGTTGAAATACTTGTACATCTCAAAAACAAGAGCAAGCCGTACCTGTTTCCTGCGTACCACGTTGAGTGTATCGACGGTCCACGTGTTCGAAGTAACTTGGGTGTCGTCTAGTATCATTGTTCCTTCGGCGACCTCGGACGTTGTGATTCACTTGCGGCTCTTCGAGGTTTGAATGATCCGGATGGAGCTCCTCCTCAATCATGCGAGACACATTTCGAAGTACAGCAGGATCACTTGCAACGACCTCATCAACCAAGGAACGGAAATGTGCAGCTTCTTCGTTAGAATCGTCCACAAACTCCGGTACATTAACACCATCGCCGATGACCAAGGTCTTCCAGAACGGATGAATTTGCCTTCTATACAACCCTTTTTCCGCAACCAACGAGTCATGAATCTGGCAAGCGCATGGCAAACCGTGAGTCACACGCATTGCACATCCACACCGGTCATGCACCTGGTAACTCAGTTCCCTCATCCTTCTTGTCTCGTCATCTAGTACTTTCAGACAATGCTGAGACACCTTGCCGTTGATACGAGACAGTGGCAACTGTCTGTACTTTTCACCGATCTTCGACATTGACGCCTCCAATGAATTACGGATGTTAATGATCTGGTTGCCAATATGACTATGTACCCGGTCCCAGACGGTATCCAAAGAACCTGCCATCGAACTGTAATATTAAAAACCTGTTGGTATTTACAAAAAAAATGGAATAAAAACATGGTATTCCCACAACATACCTGTCGAAGACTCGAACCACATCTTCACGGCCGAATGTTGACTTTCAACTCGGCAAGTGCTCGTGTTACCGAGGTGCAGAACCTGGTTCGTCCAGAATGTCACGAATTTGGTCTTATGACAAAGCCAGGTTCTCTCGACATAACTAATCACACTAGGGAAACTAGCCCACCGAGTTTTCATTCTGTCTACAGCTGAGTTATAATCCGCCTCGGTCGCGGCATCCATGATACGTTTCCAATGACCGTTTTTGAATTGCGCCCCAATTTTCTTATTCTTGAACATATTGGTGACCCGGGCCTCCACATCTTTGTTAATGTGCCATCGACAAAGTAAATGCGATGTCGCTGGAAACTCTTCTCTCAATGCCGCACAAAGTCCAAGCTCACGGTCTGTCAGAAATACCGACGGCTCCTTATCATACCCAATCAACTCTCGTAATCTCTGAAGGACCCACCGGTAGCTTCCCGTGCACTCGTTGCGCATGAACACATAACCGACGAGAAAATTCTGATTTGTCGGTGTCACACCGACTATCTCGAAGAACGGCATCCCGTATCGGTTGGTCTTGTATGTCGAATCCATACCGATCACATACGGATACGTCCGTAGTATGTTCACCGTGATCGGGTGCACCATAAACGCATGCTGCATAACGTTGACATCATCAGACATGACCCAGTAAATATACCGGTTCTCTCTCGCCAAATGTAGAAATTGCTGAACAACTCCTCTCCCATCAGACATCTCCGCTCTCAAGTCATTCCGGCAGTTGTAGATATGTCGGATGTTTGGATGATCCTCGGGAAATTGCTCTGCAATTGTCGCCATGATGTTCCGCGGTGCAACCTTGGACTTTGTCATGTCCTGCACAACCTTCTTGGCTTCCGGGCTCAAGCCACTGATCTTACGATGACCCTCCGGATAGACAATCATTGGATGGTTATGGGTCCCAGTTGCATCATTCTTGGTCCGTATCTTCCAACTGTCGGTGACGAAGACATAATAAATCTTGATGTAGAAAGGACAACCAATTGCTTTGGTTTTGGTGTCCACCCTAATTGCATTCTCAAGATCTCTCGGCTGGCTCTTTCGGCCCCTATCACACCTCAAATACCGGTACGGCCGACCGTCTCTAGTTTTGTTGTAAGACGATTTAACCAAAAGAAAACCGAGATTCACGGCAACAGCATACGCCCAATTAACTGCCTCATCAAACGTTGGAAACAGCGTGTCTGTGGCAAAATGCGCACTATAATTCACATCGTCGGCAGCATCTTCGTCCTCCGAACCCTATAAAAAATAATTATAACACACATAAAACACAAACTCGTTACTTCTAGACAATAATAGTAACAGTATTAAAAATAACCACAACAATACTAAAAATAATATAAACAATAAAAACATTAACAATAACACTAATATAAACAAAATTATCGACAGAATAATAAAATTAATCATAATAATTACACAATTAAACATAACGATATTAAAAACAATAATAATAAACACAATAATAACAACCGTAACAGCGATAATAATAATCAATAACACAAAAAAACCAACGAATAATAGTAATAAACAAAAATTATCGAAACAATATTAAAATGGATCATAATAATACCACAATTAATCATAACGATAATAATAATAGTTTACACAATAATTTCGGTTTTATGTCACTAATGGAATAAAACATAAAATAAATAACAATAACAGTAATGGAAACAATTAACAATAAAACTAATGGAAAAAAACAGAAAAGAAAAGAAACAAACATTAAAAAAAAAAAACCTTTTTTAAGGACATCCGGATGAAATTTCCGTATGATCCTTGGGTGATCCGGAAATCTCATCCGAATTCTTCGTGGAAGATCCGGATATTTTGTCCGGATGTTACTTCCGGATGAAATTTCCGGATGCCCCTAGATCCGGATTAAATATCCGGATCTACCCCGAAGGATCCGGATGAGATTTCCGGATGACCCAAGGATCATCCGGAAATTTCATCCGGATGTCCATTTAACAGAAACAAAAAAAAAAATTTAAAAAACTTACAGAATCTTCCGACGATGCCTCCGGTGTACGAACGTTGCCGTCATTCCACATCTTAAGCCCGTAAATTCGGCTCGGGAATTTACTATTTGTATAAATAAACGATTTGTATTGCCCTCGCTCGGGAATTTTGGAACTCGGGATTTTGAAAACGAAATTTTGAGTGAAATCGCTCCATAATGATTTTAATATGCTCGTGAATGGATATGGCTACTCGGTGAACCTTTAAATAGCAAAAAATAAGCTAAGGGCAAAATGGTCATTTCACTTAAAATTGGGAGCGACGCCTGGTAAAAAAGGAGCGACGAATAGCAATCCAGTAATTTTGTCAATCTATGTACTCAAATTAACTTAATTTTTTTTTTTATTTAGGGTAATCTTTTAGGGACGGAGGTAGTCGATATAATAATGTACTACTTTTGTTAACTTGTAGTAGCAAGTTTGGAATATTTTTATATCTCACAAATAATATCTAAATTTGTAACTAAAAGTTGACGAAGAAGTATACAATTTCTCTTGTCAAAAAAAAAAAAATAAAAAAAAAAAAAAGTAGTATACAATTACTCGGTATTGTAGTATAATATTGATGTTGCTTCCGTTGGGCCTTGGTACACATGCGTGTGTTGAGCCTATAGCAAAGGTGGGCTTCATGATGTTATCATCAACTAGGCATTTTTATTAAGAATCACGGTCCATCTTTTTAGCATCAACTTTTAAAGTAGCATGTTTTGGTCTTCAATTTCGTAACCATATGGGGTAGGAGTGTAGGACAACTTTTTTTTATATTTATACTATAATTTATATTTATAATCATAATGCTATAATTATTATTATTACTACTATTATCCAAACATTATTTCAGTTTATTTGGGTGATAGTGCATATTATTCATAATTATAATAATGTTATTACTAGATGAAACCCGTGCGATGTACGGATCGTTTATATTTTTTTTTAAAAAAAATATTTTTTATATTTATGTGATTACATTTGTTACTTCGTATTTTATTAGTTGTATGTAATATATCATTTTTTTGTATTTTTTTTAAATATTAGATAAAATTCTTAATCTCATAAGATAATATTTCGTATTTAATTAATGTAACCATTAAAATCTCATGTCAATTATGCTTATGCGGCACTTTAACTAATTTTAGGTGGCATAATCCTATTTAGCATTTTAAACATGTTTGTTTGTGTTAATTGGATTAGACTGCTGCAAACTTGTAAAGTTTATAATACTTTGTATAGCAATGTACTATGAACCTCAATATTCTCATGCTAGAATGTTACTTGTTAAAGTTCTCCTTGTCATTTCAATATTGGATGATACTTATGATGCTTATGGAACATTTGAAGAACTTGAGCTCCTAACAGAAGCATTTGAAAGGTATAAATTACACAAAACTACGGTTACGAAGTATGTATCAATAATGTACTCACTTTTTCCTGGTTTAGTCACTTAAGTTTGTCGATTTTATGCAAAATAAATGACTTTTTATTTTATTGCATTATTATTAATTGGCAGTGAGTTTTTATATATATATATATATATACTAGTATATAAATAGTTAGTGGGACATGGGTTGTTAAAACAAAGGTATGACTCGTATGATTTTTTTTTTATATATATAAATAGTTAGTGAGATTTATAGAATTTTTTTTGTTTTTTTTGTTAAATTAGTGAGAAAATTATTGAGTTCTTTCTTTCCATATATATATATATATATATATATATATATATATATATATATATATATATATATATATAAATATATATATATATATAAATAGTAAATTAATGTAGGGCGAAATGAGAATAAAATATTTAAAAAAAAGTTTAAGTTTCACATATGCTAAATGAATAATGATACAGGTGGGACTTGAACGCAATGGAGCAGTTTCCTAAAGATTACATGAAATTAGTTTTTCAATTTGTATACAACATTTATAATGGGTTTGCTAAAGAAATGACAGAGCTTGGGAAACCATATGCAGCTAAGTTCGCTAAAGACCGGGTGAGTCTTTAATTTGTAACTTCCTTTGATTTATTGTGCTCCTCAATCGGTCCATTTAATAAGGTCACATATATATGTATAATAATTCTCACTTAATTGTGGAGAAATAGAGTTAATAATATAGGAATTCTATAAATTCTCCACTATTTACAATTTTATATATATCTTTGAGAAACTATTACGAATTGTGGTTTTGGCGCGGGCTTATATGTCTTAATAGGTTTATCGTTAAGATAAAAAGACGTAAAAAATAGTGGGATATATATAATATGTAGGCAGAATAAGCAATTGTATGGTTTGTTTTCATAATTAGGTGTTCCTATAAACTTTGATGTATTTAGGTAATGGATTTGATAAGAAGCTATTACACTGAAGCGAAGTGGTACAAAGCAAAATATGTGCCTACATTTGAAGAATATATGGTGAATGCAAGAATCACAGGGGTTGCTCAAATTCTTACTACATCCTTGTTGGGAATGGAAGAAATTATGGAAGTGAAACCATTTAAGCAGATAATACAAGCCCCTAACAAGGCCATTAGAGCTTGTGAAATTATTGGACGCATCATGGATGATGTTGTTAGTCATGAAGTACGTTACTACGTTGTGTCACAATAATTGTTCTTTTTTTTTTTTTTGTTACAATGTTCCACATGTGTCAGCATGACCAATTTAAAAAGTGCGCACATAACATGGGACAAAGGATTCTGGCTGGTCGTTCTGATTAATCTTTATATATACAAATCCTACAATGCGACATAAAACTAACTAAATTAATTCGATGCATGCTTCTAACCAAATAACACATCTCATATTATATAATAGGAGGAGCAAGCTAGAGGCCATGTTGCCTCGGGCGTGGAATGCTATATGAAAGACTATAACATGAGTAGAGAAGAAGTGGTGCAAATTTTTAACAAAATGGTTGAAGATGCATGGAAGGAATTGAATGAGGAATTTCTGATCAAGTCTAGGCCAGGAGACGACGACCTTCCAAAGGCAGTGCTCAAACGAGTCCTCAACCTTGCTCGAGTGGTGGATGCCTTGTACAAGGTCATTGATGGGTACACTTACTCGGCCAAACTGATTAAGGGCGACATAATCTCAACTTATACTCAGCCTATTCCTCTTTAAATAAGTTGAATTGGGTCGCCAAATAAAATTTGTACTACTATTTCTAGTAAAGATTCTAGACTTAAATGTCTGATATATATTGTACGGTGATGTTGTTGTTGACGTTGGTACTTGTGTGATGTTATTGTGTGGAGCTTAATGTTTGAGTATACACACGAAAGTGTGCGTTGTTTATTTGTAATTTGTTCATGTATTACTGAATATTACCATTTTCCATTTACTCGTATATAACATGTCTCCTAACTCCTATAAATTAAGCATGAAACTTTGGATTTTTTTTTTTTTTTTTTTTTTTTTTTTTTGACGAAATGAAACTTTGGATAATGATATCCTTGATTATAAACTAAGCATGAAACTTTGGATTTTGATATACTTAGGCATGTTCTCTTACGTTGAAATTCAGTTCAGTTCAGTTCCGTTCAGTTCAGCTAAGCTCAGTTCAGTTCAGCTCAGTTCAGCTCAGTTCAGTTCAGTTCAGCTAAGTTCAGTCAATGAGAACATACCCTTAATTATAACATGTCTCCTATAATAATTTCTTGTATTTTATATGAACACGTTTTAAATTGGGGAATTATCAATGATAGCCCTTTGTATTTGCTTATTTGAATTGGTAGATAATTTTTTATTTCGATTATCCTTGGTAATGATATAATTTTTAAAGTTCTAACCGTAACAAACTACTCAACTAAGGTTAACTATTTTAATTTCTTTTTTTCTTCTTATTTTTTGACAAGAGTGGTTTATTTATTTTCAATTGTGAATTCTTGTAATATGTAAGACACAACCGGTCCCATTAAGAATCCATAATTAGATGGTATTGTATAAAGATATTAGAGTCGGTTTGGTGTATTTATGTTATGTTTGTATATTTGGCAAGTTTATCTTGTTAGGACTTTTAGGCAAGTCGGGTTATGTTTTGTATTAATTGGGCTCCAAGCCCAGTGAATTGTTTGTCAAAAACAAGAAATATAAAACGGATGATTGCATAGTTTCCTTCTCCTGTTACTTCTCCATTTGAAGCGCACTTCCCGTTAAGTTCTCCATTGAAGCGCACTGGTATCCGCCATTGAAGCAGCTTCTGAGGTAAGTTGTCGTCTCTTTTTGTAATAATCATATCAATTTCACAATCTAGGGTTAATTTAATTTAATTTAATTTAATTGTCAGTGCAATTAGTTTATTAGGGTTCGAAAATCTCAACTTTTGCCTCTGAATTCTAATATTATGAAAATAAATTTATGAGCCTAATGTGATAATCGAATCAAATATCCCTACTAAAATAATTTATGTGATTTTTCGAGCCTAATTTGATAATTGAATCAAAATTGGTTGCTAATCTATTGCAGAACCCTTTAATGTTTAATTACTTATAAATTTAAGTATTTAATTGATAGGCTTTGTTCAATTAGAGTTGGATTACTTGGATGATTGGATTGAAGTGAATTATTCGATCAAGGTTACTTGGAATTTGTGGGATAATTAATTTATAATTGCTGATTTATTATTGGATACTTGGATAATTGATTAATTTGTTATTGTTTACTTGTTTCGATGGATTACATTGTAAGTATTACCTCCGATACATATTATTCGCAATGATTTGGCATAAAGTAGAGAAAAAAAATGTCTAATCATTGCAAATAATATGTAACGGAGGTAGTATATAACTTCGTTAGTTCACATTGGATATTTTTTTTTTGGTATTTCTCGCGGTTCACTCTTTAGACTAATCCAGATTCGTGGATCAGTTCTGGATGATTAGGTTTCAGTCCCCTCCCGATTGTTGTTGCGGTGATCGAACACGATTATGTGAAATTGTCATTTCTTTCAATGTTATTGTAATAGTAAATGTATTTATAATGTACTCACTAAACCTGGGCACGGGCCGGGTTGGCCCGCGTGCCGCCCGACACGGCCCGCCGTTCGGCGCAGCCCGGCACGGCCCGAAGTTCAACTTCCGTGCCACGGGCCGTGCCACGGACACGGTTGAGAATTCCCAGGCACGGCCCGGCACGAGCACGGGCATGGCCCGCCGTGCTGGCCCACAGGCACGGCCCACAAGCACGGCCCGCGGGCCAACGGTAATATTACCGTTTCATGTAGCTAGAAGCCAAAAAAACGGCTATAAAACGACTAGTTTTTTGCCAATTTGCTCCCCAAAAATTCTATAAATACTCACCTCCATTTCATTCCCAAATCAAAAAATCACAATCTCTTCTTCTTATCTCTTATATTCTCTAAATCTCTAATAATCCTTATTTTCTTAAATTCTCTAATTATTCTCTTAAATTCTCTAATTATTTTCCTAATATCGGAAAAAATTAAAAAGTTCGTAATCGTAATTAGTGGAGCGTTGAAGCACGGTTGTAAGATCTAAACTAATCTTAAATTTATTATTGTTTTATTGTTATTATTAGAATAATCTTGTTTAATTATTATTGTTGTTAATTGTTATTGTTGTTGTTATAATTGTTGTTATTAATTATTATTATTGTTACAATTGTTGTTATTATTTATTTTTGTTGTTATTGTTATTGTTATAGTTGTTGTTATTAATTATTATTATTGATATTTTTATTGTTAAAATTGTTGTTAATAATTATTATTATTATAGTTAACCACTTTTTATTAAAAAATTAATTGTTAATTATGGCATCGAACAACCCATCATCTAGGTCTAGGGGGAAAGGCCGACTTATCCGTAGTAGTAGTTCTAGGGAACCACCAAATACAACGAGCCCCCAAATTACGAGTCAAACCAATGACCCCATTACTTCCCCCCGGGCTATGAGCCATATAATACGTCGGGATTTCCAGCACCACCACTAAACCAATTTCCACTACCACCATACCAATTTCCACCTAATTATATCGGTAATCAACAAAACTATTGTTCTAGCCAAGGTAGCCAAGAAAGTACCCGAATTCCCTCCGGTTCTACCCCTTCTACTGCCACTCCCACTAGTCCCACTACTAACCATCACACACATCATGAATGGTTAACCGAAACTGAGATGCTACTTTTGAAAAACCGAAGGAGTGAGGTATGGCGTTATTTTGTCCTAAGTAAAGATGGTGAACAATGGGCAAAATGTAAAACATGTAATAGTGTATTCACGGCAGTTACCAAAAACGGGACGGGACACTTATCTAGACACATGAAAGCTTGTGCAAAACCAGCTAGTGATCCAACCCAGCCCAAAATTTCCCAATTCCATCCATACGGCTTTACATACAACTATGAGAGGGATAGGGATTAACTAGGAAAAATGATAGTACACGCCGAACAACCTTTTCTTTTCTCGGAAAGTGACGCATTCAACACCTACATTAACAAAGCACTACAACCCCAACATAAAAGAATCTCTAGGAAAACCGTTTGTTCCGCCGCAATGAAAAATTTCCTAGAGTACAAAGTCCGGTTACAAGCCGAATTGAGTAACCTTAACTGTAGAGTATCTTTAACAGCCGATTCTTGGGATAGTGGTTATAAATATCACTATTTATGTGTGACTTGCCATTGGGTAGATGATCAATGGATGTTACAAAAAAGAATAATACATTTCAAAATGCTGGAATACCCACACACCGGCATTAACATTGCTCACCATTTAATGCAAGCAATAGACGAATACAACCTTCGAGATAAAATGATGTCTATGACTTTTGATAATGCAACCTCTATGACATACACAGCTAATCTTATCAAACAAAACTTAACCGATGTACTATTAGACGGTGAAGCTCTTCATACTAGATGTGTTTGCCATGTACTTAACTTATGTGTACAGGATGGAGTTCGGGCAATTGGCCCATACTACAGCAAAATCAGAGATGCTATTATGTCTATTAATAGCTCTAACATGAGATACCAAGAATGGAAGAGTTTTCTAAAACAACAAAAGATAAGGGTAATAAAAATTAGAACCGATTGCCCAACTAGGTGGAATTCCACCTATGACATGTTAACAAAGGCAATTGAGTACAAGGGCCCGTTAACATTATTTTACAACCAAAAATTTCCACAAAATGCTTTGTATGATGATGATTGGAAAAACTGTGAAAGATATATGCAATTTTTACAGTTATTATATAACATGACGTATTGTTTTTCTACTGTTTACAATCCTTGTGCTCAAAACTTTCTTTCTAATGCATGCTTACTCGCCCAACTTTTCGCTGATCGTCGCAATCAAAGTGATTATGATCAGTATCTTCCAGCAATGGAAAAAAAGTGGCGTAAATATTATAGTGAGATTCCTTTGATTTATATTTTTGCTTCCATATTAGATCCTAGGCAAAAGTATGAAAACACATTTATGTTAGTTGACATTTACTTTCAATGCATGTTTCTTGACGATGATGTAGAAAACTATAAGACTAATGTGAAGGATCAGTTTTTTGCTTTATATAGAGTCTATGAAGCCAAATATGGCACCGTTCCTCGCTCAGGGCCTTCCCAACCATCCAAAAACGTAAGTAAAAAGGCCAAACATTTATTTTCACAAGCTACTAACTTGATTTCAAGGTTTTCAGGTGATTCATCAATCAGGAGAACGCAAAGCGACGTCTCGGAGTTGCAGATGTACCTGAGTTACGACTTCACCAAAGGCATGGACGACGATGAGATAAACAGCCTCGACCTCCTTGCATGGTGGAAACAACAAAGCTCGAAGCATCCAACTTTGGCGGCAATGGCACGAGACATTCTTGCTATCCAAGTTTCCTCCATCGCCTCCGAACGAGCTTTCAGCGCATCCGGAAGGGTTTTAGACGATAGAAGAACAAGTCTAAAACCCGAAACACTAGAAATGTGCGTGTGTTTCAAAGATTGGTTGGATGCGGAAAATCGCTCACAAGACCGTTCTTACGACCACAACGACAACGAAGAAGGAACCTCCGCTTCCGGTTCGGGTTCGGCTAGTTCCCAATCTATGCAACTAGCCGATGACCTTGAAGGCGAAGGCGAAGACGAAGACGAAGACGAAGACGAGCAAGAAGAAGGAGAAGAAGAATAGACAATTATTGTATATTGTACGATTTTAAAAATATCAATTTTATCATTTTCCAATTTTTGTTTAATACCATCATTGTATGATTTTTATCATTGTTATCATTGTACAATTTTCTCAACTCAAGTAATAATAA